TCCTCCTCCTCCTCCTCCTCCTCCTCCTCCTTTCGCCCCCCCCTCTCCCCATCTGTGTGAGGGAGGAGAAGCACTTTGCCCACTTACGACCACTTGACGCAGCCTCGCCCGAACACGCGGACATGATATGCTCAGTGCCACAGCTCGCTCTCTTGTGCCCTCACGCATGTATTGTGCTGCGAGGAACGGCCGCCCGGGCTTCTCTTGGACGCCTAGATACTGACGGAGACCTCGGTTGCGACGCGTCTGCTTTCCCCCATGGGCGTCAGATGTCAGCGCGTGTCCTCTCGCTGAGAAGGAAGAGGAGGAAAAGAAATGAGAGGTGCGAGGCTGGCGGTTCGTGGTGAGGCCTTTCCTTCCCGATGTCCGCGTTCGAACAAAGAGGCTGTGATAATGTCAGCTGATAAAAGACCTTCATTTTTTTTTTGTCAAGCGGGAGTTAGCGACTTCGGAGATAATACTTTTTCTTTCAAGACGTTGATCGCAAATGACACGTTTGTTTTTTTTTTTTTTTTTTTACGTGTGAGATAGAATGACTCGAGTAAAGAAAGATACAAAAGTCAGTGTATTGTTCCTCAACCCGGAAGATGAAAGAACCAAAGAGAAATATGACAGTCGTTTGAATAAGTGACAAAATACACGTTTCAGGAGAGGTGTTTTGCAAGGAATTTCTACCATGCGTTTAGAAAACTTTCAGGACCTTTTCAGTTACTCGCTTAACGGCCACTCCGAACGATGATGAATGGAGTATGAAGTCAAATACAACGGGGTATGAGTTGTATTAGGTGATCGTGGTATTATTTCATATTTTGGGACATCATGCGGGATCCAATTTTCAAAAGAGGTTATAAGGTTACCAAATAACTTTCAATATATGTAGAGGATAGATGGTAAGAGATAGATGGGTAGATAGAGAGATGTAGAAGAGATGGGTAGATAGATAGATAGACAGATAGAAGGTAGATAGATGTAGACAGATAGATGGGTAGATAGATAGATGTAGACAGCTAGATAGGTAAATAGATAGATGGAGACAGATAGATGTAGATATAGATATTTGTGTATATGTATTTGTGTAAATTAATTCTCTCTAATAATAGGTCATTAACGATATTATGATGGATGGCCACACAAGTATTTCAACACAGACAACTACATACATAGCAAATGAGGCAGGGCGATAATGAGCGAGAACCTAATGTTTATTAAAAGGCAAGTGGTACCTAAAACCACAAGTGTGCAGGAGTATCAACAGTAGGATCTACTAACCATAAATTACTGTCACGGACACCTCATCTCATCTTACGGAAACGTGAGATGAATCAGAGATGAGTCGGATGGTGATACAGTTCACATGATACATTGAAGTGCTCTTTAGGCTCTCTCGTTGCCTTGTGCCTCTCGAGGGTAAGAGACGAATCACTGGGGGCTTTAATTGGCCGTAAATAGGTTGTTAGATGCTGTTGAATTGGATGAATAACAGGCGATTGCCTCGTTCGGGAAAGTTTGTTGTGCCAATTAAGATTTTTTTTTTTTTTTTTTTTTTTAGTGTAGAGGTTTTTATTTTAGGTCATGTTTAGCGTCCTGGCTTCTCTTCACTGATTCGTAACGATTTCCCAGTGAATTGTTATTGATATTCACATTCATTATGTTTCTTTTAGAGAGTAAATAAGTACCCAAAAGCCCAACATTGTTCCAAGACATTTTGCGCTTGTCGACGCGTGTGACCCATGTGACAAACCACGGCGAGTGCAGTGGTTTCCTCGCGGTCTAAGAGCCGGGGTTCGAGACCGAGGACGCCCTATGATGTAAGAGCGCAGTGTGAAGTGTGTGAAGTGTCGCTGGCGCTGAGAGGCCATGGCACACGATGCCGTCAACCCCGCCGTGGGCCGCATGTGGCACCTGGACCACAACAACCCTTACGACAGGGCCATGCGCTCGCAGGTGCGGAGCTACATGCCCAACCGCCACAGCTACGTGGACCAGACCAGCGCCCTGCCCAACCTGAACCGCCACTACGCGCAGAGCCTCGAGTCCATGGACAACGGGCTGGCGAGGCCCATCAAGCCCATCTCGCCCCACTCCCCCTACGCCCCCCACCTGCCGCAGCCCTCCTCCCACTCCACCCACGCCCTGCACTCCCCCCACTCCGCCCACTTGGCCCACTCCTCCCACTCGCCCCACTCGCCCCACGCGACGCCCTCGCCCCACTTCCCGTCCGCCCCGACCAGCCGCCCGACGAGGCCCGGGAGCAGGTTCTCGAGGTCGGGCCACAGGTCGTCCTCGGGGCGCAGCAGCCGGCCCTCCAGCTTCACCGCCTCCCAGGACGACTTCGTCTTCTTCTCGCCCAACAAGCCGCCTCCCGCAGGAGTGGCCTTGACCAGCAAGGTCCTGCCGGAGGAGAACGAGGACGACGACGATGACGACGACGACGACGACGAGAACGACGCGCTGTCCAGTGACAAGAGGCTGAGACGGACGGGGAAAGTGGCTGACTACGGTGAGTTCACGGGGGGAGGGGGAGGGGGGGTGGGGGTGGACGCACGCACGCGCAGTGACATGTAAGGCATTTTTAAGATGAAGATACAGTGTCATTCGTCCATTATGATGCATTATGTCTGTAGAAACTTGTTATTTCTGTTTTTTTGTATCAAATATGCTGTATTTCCTTTTTCTTTTTTTCCTTTTTTTTTTTTAATTAGGCACTCTATGTAAAGACACAAATGTCCTTATCTTCTATGCTGTGGATACATTATATGCAAAGATGGAAAGTGCTTGAAATGAGAGAAAGTGTTTTTTAATTTCTTTTTTTTCTTGTTTTTCCTTTGTTTGTTTGTCTGTTTTTTTTTTTTTTTTTTTTTGTTTTTTTTTTTGGGGGGGGTATAGTTATACGTCAGGATACGTGGTTGTGTTTTGAAATCCACGTAATTTTATTCTAAATAAACATTCACTTCCTCAGATACTATTTTAAGGTACTTTTATTTCTTTTATTGTTGCATTCTGTCGTTTGGAATTCGATTTTTAAGTTTTTGTTTAAAAGACCCATTTATTTAACGATAGGCCGTGTTATTTTTACAGAATTTGAATATGTATTATCTGTGCAATGATGCAGAGAGATTCATGTTGAAAATATGTTTAAGATTCATACTTGTTAGGGTACACTACGTTTTTTTTCTTTCTTTTTTTTTTATTACCATAAGTGCTTGTACAACACTCTTGTCGTTTGCGTTATTTTTGTGAAAAATAGTATAAAGTTAATTCGCTAATAAAGGTCTACAGTTTAAAGGTACATGAAAAAATGTAAGACTGTAAGACTGTCAAAATACAGTTTTCTGAAGCGTTTTTCAAGAGAGTTTTATACGGAAATATATTCGCTTGGTGTATTTTAGCGGTATATATTTCTTTGACACTTCGTCGTCATGTGTCATATTACTTCTTTTTTTTTCGGTTGCACAAATAGAACATTCTGAATATGTATATATAAATTTGTGTGTGTGTGTATGTGTGTGTATATATATGTGTATGTGTGTGTGTGTTTATGTGTGTGTGTGTGCATGTGTTTATGTGTGCGTTGTGCATGTGTGTGTGTGTCTTGTGCGTGTGCGTGTGTGTCTGTCATGTTTATGTGTGTATCTGTGTGTGTATATAGAGAATGCGTCAGTGATAATTAGGCGAATATTTTTCAAAACATTGAAGGTTCATTCCGCTGCTTGCCCAATGTCGCATTTCTCCCTTTTTTTGTTGTTATTGTTATTGTTCTTATTATCGTTCCCGCCACTCTATCTTATTCTAAAAACCTAGAATGACTTTGTTCTTACATTAAGATTGACCATGACAACGAAAATTAATATGGTTGTTATTAAGTAAAAGGACAAAATCGTTGTTATCCAATTATGCAAATGAGAGTGGATGAGAAACAGATGTCAATGACTTTCTCAGATTTAGGTCTTGCAATTTTTTTTTTTTTTTTTATTATTGTTGTTTTTGTTATTGTTGTTGTTGCTAAAAGATGGTTGGGAAATTTAATACATTGGGTGTAAGTCTCGCAACTATTTCGTCTTCTTATTATTGTTGTTTTTGTTGTTGTTATTGCTAAAAGATTTTTTTTTAAATTAAAAGATGTTTGTGAAATTAATAAATACATTGGGTGTTTGTTTACGTGTGTTTGTGTTTGATTGTTTGATTGATTTTGTGTTTGTGCATTTTTTTATTCTCATAATAACATACATAGTACTTCCATCGTTAAAAAAATGTTTGATATGTAATTGACGAAGTTAGGTTAGGTTAGATTAGGTTAGGTTAATAATTATGATAACTGTGATCATGATAACAATAAGATAATAGATAAGGAGACGAGTTATCATCATCATAAAGATGATGATGTAAAAGAAGAAGAATATAATTTCGATACAAATATTACTAAGACGTTTTTCAAAATCCAAAGTCGATATTTTTTCTTCCTGATCCTTCTTTTGTCTCCTCTTCCTTTTCCTCCTCCTCATCTTACTCCTTTATTCTCTTAGTTATCCTCTCTTCTTTCCTCCTCCTTCTCCTCCTCCTTACCCACACGTTATTCCTTCCATTTCTAAATCCTCTTCCTTTTCCTCTTCTTCCTCCTCTTTCTGCCTTTCTTTTCCTCCTCATCATCCTCTTCATCATCATCATCATCCTCTTCCTCCTCCTCATCATCATCATCATCACTAGTTATCTCCATTCCCTCATTACTCTCTTCCTCCTCCTCCTTATCCTCATCCTCATCCTCATCCTCTTCCTTATCTACTCCCAATTCACTCCCTCCTCCTCCTCCTTTTCCTTCTGACTTGATTTCTTTTCGTTCCTCCTCCTCCTCCCCCTCCTTACCTCTCACCTCCTACCTCCCACTCGCTCTCCTCCCACCTCCTCCTCCTTCCTGACTTGACTTCTTTTCTTCCTCCTCCTCCTCCTTTCCTCCTACCTCCCACCTCCCACTCTTCTCCTACCTCCTCCCACCTCTTCCTCCTCCTTCCCCGACTTGATTTCTTTTCCTCCTCCTCCTCCTCTTCACTCCCCTCCTCCTCCTCCTCCTTCTGACTTGATTTCTTTTCTTCTCCTCCTCCTCCTCCTTACCTCCCACTCTTCTCCTACCTCCCGCTCTCTTTCCTCCTCCTCCTCCTCCTCCTTCTCTGACTTGAGTTCTTTTCTTCCTCCTCCTCACTCCCCTCCTCCTCCTTCTGACATGACTTCTTTTCTTCCTCCTCCTCCTCCTTCCTCCACCTCCTTACCTCCCTCTTCTCCTTACCTCCCGCTCTCCCCCCTCCTCCTCCACTCCTCCTCCTCCTCCTCCTCCTCCTCCTCCTCCTCCTCCTCCTCCCGCCTCCTCCTCCTTACCTCCCACTCTTCTCCCTCCTCCTCCTCCCACCTCCCACTCTTCTCCCTCCTCCTCCTCCCACCTCCTCCTTCACCCTCCTCCCTCCTCCTCCTCCTCCTTACCTCCACCTCCCACCTCCTCCTTCATTCTCCACCTCCTCTTCCTCACCTCCCACCTCCCGCTCTCCTCCCGCTCTCCTCCCGCCTCCTCCACCTTCTGCCGACTTGGTTTCTTTTTTCTCCTCCTCCTCCTCCCACCTCCCACTCTTCTCCTACCTCCCGCCTCTCCTCCCTCCTCCTCCACCTCAAGGAGAGGAAATTAGCATGAAGTAAACTCGGTCCCTTGCCTCCTCAAGATGATTTCCTTCGCCTCACTTCCACAATGAGGATCTAGGAACCTCGCCGAGCGTTATGGGAGGCGAGGAGAGGGGAGGAGAGGAGGAGGGGAGGAGAGGAGGGGAGGGAAGAAAGAGGAGGGATAGGGGAGAAGAGGAGGGGAGGGAAAGAGGAGAGGATTGAAGAGAAGAGAAGAAGAGGAGGAGGGGAGGGAGACAGAAGAGAAGAAAAAAAAAGAGAGGAGAGACCCGTGGCAAGAAGTCCTTCCGGTGGATATGTGTGGGATGGACTCTGGGTAGGGGGGGAGAGGGGGGTGGGGGAGAGAGGAGGAAAGGAAGAGAGGGGAGGAAGGAGGGGGAAGGGGTGGAGGTGGGGAAGGGAGGAGGATTCTGGGAGGGAGGGGAAGGGGAAGGGGGTGGGGGAAGGGGATAGAGTTTTTTTGTTGGTTTGTTTGCTTATTTGATCTTTTTTTGCGTATTGTTCTTTGTTGCAATTATTATTATTTTAGTTATTTTTGTTATTGTTATTGTTGTTATCATTAATTTTAGTTAGCTAGTACTATTACTCTAATCATCATTATTATATTATTTCATTATCATTATTGTTATTATCATCATCATTATCATTAATCATCATCATCATCACCACCATCATCAGTATTTTATTACCATTACTTACCCCCCACCCCACAAAAAAATAGAAATAATAATAATAATAAATAATAATAATAATAATAATAATAATAATAATAACAAAGAAATTAAAAAATAAAAAAATAAAAATTTCCACGAGCCTCCCCTCCAACAATATCTATCCATCTCACTCGCAAATTATCCCGAGGCATAATAATAAAAAATCAAGACTTTTGATTATTGAAAGTCTATCCCATTCTCCGTCGCCTTCTCATCCGGGTCTTCGGGAGGCGGACCAATCACGTGCTTGCGTTGCTGAGATCGCTAATGGGGGGGGGGGAGGGGGTGGAGGGGGGAGGGGGGGGGTGGGGAGGGGAGGGGAGGAGAGGGAGGGAAGAGGGAGGGAGGGGAGGGAGAGAGGGAGAGGGAGGGAAGGAGAGGGAGAGGAGGGGAATGTGGGAGGGAGAGGGAGAGGGAGGGACAGGAGGGAGGGCGAGGGAGAGGAGGGAGGAGGGAGGGAGGGAGAGAGAGGAGAGAGAGAGAGAGAGAGATCAAAGGAGAAAAGAATATGGACGGAGATTGCATTGTGTTTTACGTTTGGTTGCGTATATATATATATATATATATATATATATATATATATATATATATATATAGATAGAGAGAGAGAGAGAGAGAGAGAGAGAGAGAGAGAGAGAGAGAGAGAGAGAGAGAGAGAGAGAGAGAGAGAGAGAGAAGAGAGAAGAGAGAGAGAGAGAGAGAGAGAGAGAGAGAGAGAGAGAGAGAGAGGGAAAGAGAGACAGAGAAAGAGAGAAAAAAAGAGACGGTAAAACAAAAATAGACAGAAATAAATATATATATACAGACACACACACATGAATGAATAAACCTGAATTTGGAATTTTTATATCAATTCTTTAGTTAGATCCATAATCTGGCCAAAATCATCAGTAACCAGCACACACCTGGAATCAATTTAATATTTTTTTTTTATCGTAATAACCTTCGTGTCACTCTCAATGATACGTTGTTGATAGATTTTATATACTGTCGGAATAACACAGTAACATAGCATTAGCCCTTTATAACATGGACATAAAGACGATTTTCGTGTGACTTTATAGCTTAGATATATGATAAGAATAATCCGTAAAAAATGGAGTCACAAATATGATTTTTTTAAATA